AAACATTAATATGCGCGTTTAATATTGATTTAAACGTAATTAACGCCACGTAAAATAGACAGTTGACTCGAAAGGCACAGAATATTATGATTTTTATAATATACATGAATAAAAAAAAAAAAGAAATGTGTATTTTATATAATATACTAGATGATTGAAAACTAGTCGTCGTAATGCAAATAAAAACTATACACCGACCCGTGAATGAAAAAGCCGTCAGTTATCACACTAAAAACTAATATTAAAATCACAAGTTGCCCCCACTTCACGGTAGTTAAACGTTTGTCCATAAAATTTTAGGACAGCCTACATAGCAAAATGGCGTCCCATAATGATGTGCTTCGTTTAAAATACAACGGATACATTAATAACAACGCGCGCATACGTCCAGTGCACGAATGTGTTGCAACTGTTGTTACGGTACGTCTACGGTGGACGACGTAATTAACAGCAGTTGTACGGCACATAATCAAAGGTCGTGCAGTCGACGTATCCGGACCGGAATCAGCGTAGTGCTATCTCCATTCGGCGGAAGTCGTTAGGCCTCCGATGCTGTTGTTATTATTGTTGTTGTTCAGATATGAAGCGGGGGATTTGTTTCAATATGCCGCAGTGCCGTGATGGTGATGCGCCATCAGAGACGCGTGGTGGTGCGGATGATGGTGGTGATGATGGTTGAGGTCCGTCAAGTAATGGTGACCGTGGTCGACGGCCGATGGCTGTATTGATGACGGTATGCCCGCACCCGTGTTCATGTACCTGCAAGGCGCGAGGAAAATAAATCAAATGTTTCGTCCACGCGCACAGAGGCGTACAACGATATTTGCTCGAACGAGCTTTGCGAGTGCAAAAAGTACTCACCAGTCGGACGCGGTAGGCGGTGTGGGCAACGGCAGAGCCGAGGTACCGGTCGAGTGTAGGATGGACGGCGTCTGGGCGCCGCCGCCGTGGTGATCGCCAGGCGACACGATACTGGGCGTCGTGGTCGTGGTGCAGCTGTCGGTCACTCTGATGGAAGCGCCGGACGAACAGTTCGAGTCTTCCGAATCGTAGTTGCCGTCGCTGTCGAGTTTCCCATTACCGTGTACCTATTAATTGATAAACAATCGGATTATTAATTGAAAAGGTTTCAATGAGCTCACGCAGAAGTATGAGGAGCAGCGGCGACTAGTACCTTCATGTGTTTCCTGAGGGAACTGGGATGAGTGTAAGACTTATCACAGCCAGATATTCTACAGTTGTAAGGTTTGTCCGAAGTATGCACGTGCGAGTGCTTCTTCCTGTCGGAACTGTTGGCGAACCTCCTGTCGCATCCTTCGTACTCGCACTTGAACGGCTTCTCGCCTGCAAATATAAATAAAACTTGTT